GGAAGGTAGGGGGGAAAAGGGTGACGGTGGTCAAAAGGTACAGGCTTCCAATAAAAGGACATATAAGCTCTGAGTATGTAACATACAGCATGGTGACTATAGTTAACGATACTGTACTGTATATTTGAAGGTGACTAAGAGAGTAAATCTTAAAAGTTCTCATTACAAGAAAAAAAGTTTGTAACCATGTGAGGTGATGGATGTTAACTTATGACAGTAATCTTTTTGCAGTATATACATACCAAATCATTATGTTGTATACCTTAAACTAATACAATGTTTATATGTCAATTATATCTCAATAAAATTAGAAAAAAATTGCTCAACAAACGTGGAAGACTAAATTACCTTCCTATTCTCTCTATAAAAAATGGTAATGCAAAATTGTTATCATACGGAGATTACCCAAATTTTAAATAAAATGCAGGAAAAACAGCATTACAGAAGTGCTTTAGGCAGTTAATAAAAATATAATGTTTTTTTCTGGAGTATGTGAGTTTGTGGTATTTGTCAGCTTTCAAAACTTACTGAGTGAACGCTAAAAAATATTAAAAATGAAATTTTTAATTAAACAGTTATGGCTCCTAGATGACACCAAGAGCCAACTGAAAGCAATCTGGCTTCTAACTTTGCCCAATCTCTGAAGCAAAAGCAAAACGAAGAGCTCTGACACCTGAATTAAAACCTGGGTTTTAGGGAGGAACACAATCATACAACCATCCAAACAGAAACCCTGTAAGTAACATGTGTTTTCAAAATGAAACATAAGTCTCTCAGTATTCAAACTTTACAATGAACTATTTCTAGTTTCCCCAATGACTTGATGTTCTCTTGCCTCTTTTCACATGTTGTGCCCAATGACAGAAAATTCTTCTATCATATCTCTACCTGGCTGACTCCCACTCATACTTTGGGTCTTAGCTTAAAAATCACTTCCTCCAGAATAATCCCAAATACATGTTAGATATGTGCTTCAGAGTACTATGGACTTACCCATATCACAATAAATTTTAATTGTTCATTCAAGTTGTCTACCTTTCCCCCTAGGCTGCCCCTGACAGCATGTAGTCCAGCATGGTGCCTAGCACATACCAAGTACTTTTATTAAATTACTTCTAGTTTAAGGTTGCCTCCATGTAAGGATGCCAACGAAAACTCTTTGACCAAAACCTTTTTTTCAAATGAGGTATGGAGAGAAGGTAACCATCCAATTTAGGTAATTAAATACAGCAAGTGGCAATCTACTTAAACATGCACTTAAATCAGACACCTCTAGGGCATTAGATTTTATCATATTTACAAACAGTTTCTTACTAGTCATTATTTTCATTTAAAAGAAAGCTTTTCAATTAGATTTATCAAATTAAGTAATTCAGTTCAATTTATGACAATCAAATACAAGAGAAGGAAATGCAAACACCCAAATGGTTTAACTGCTAATCTGAATAAATGTGCAATTTTTAGAATGGAAAAAATAGTGGAGAACTGAGTTTAAATAGCTGAGGTGCCCTATTGCTAAATCATTTATTCAAGAGTATTTTTCTAGCAACTAGAAAAGCATCTTGGAAGCTGGTCGCCATACATAGCCTAAAACAGTCAAAATACTTTTAAAAACAAATCAATTTTTGTTGAAAGATACTTCAAACTATTAAATACCAATATTCCCATTCTGAATTATCATAAGGAATCTAGTTGGAAGAATTGGGTCTATGAACATGTAGTTAGTTCAGGTTTAGGAAACATTTTGCGATACAGAAGAATAACTGACCATTTTATCAACAACTTTAGAACAGACAGGACATCTATAGGTGACAGGGAAACGTTATTACTAACTGGAAGCATAATTTCTAATATTTTGCTTCACTAAACCAAATTGTACTACAAAGGATACGGTTTCATACACAAATATTAAAAAATGAAGGAGAAAAAAGGAACTCAACTTACACCAAGGCATGATTTGGCTATTCAAATGATCAAATGTGCATACTAATTCCTGTACTGGTGACAGATTTGAACAGAAGTCACTAAATTCCACCTGTAAGCACATCATGTCAAGTGTGTATGAACAATAATAATCCCATGGCAGTGGTGCCAAGGGAAATATCCCAAGGTTCTTTGTACAAGTCAGAACAATAACAGATTTAGTTGATGTATGGCTAACTGAAGGATTAATGTTATGAAATTTCATTCTGATTCCTCTGATTCTAGAAATAGGTTAGTTTCTCCAAAAGGTACACATATAGATAATATACATAAACAGATACAGAAGTGGATGGCAACCATACTTCTCATAAAAATGAAAGTATTCTAAGTTCAAACATAAACTTCTTCCCTCTTTTAGATATAAGATTAGCATCTAAATTATTTTAGTTATAATGAGTTCTGCAAGAATACTGAAAATAACTGCTGGTTTAATTAACTAAAGGTGTCCAATAGGCACAGTTTAATTTATTAGCATGGAGAAAAATTTTATATAATACCTGCAGTTATAAAGGAAGTATCTATTGAATTAAAATTATAATTCTATGCTGCCATGATAAAATGATTTCTTTGATCAAGGATGGCAAATGACTAAGAAGAAAATACCATTGGTAACTCTTCAGTACCTAAAATTATATGAAAGATTTGGAAAAAGTTACAGAATAGGGGGAGGAAAGAAGACAGAGATATTAAATTCGTCATCTTATTTAGTTCCCAAACATTCAGGACAGTTTCTAATCGTTATTCTGCTAAGTAAGGTGTTTGACATGAGCTTACTAGGAAAGACTTAGACTGGATGTAGGTAGAGTGAACGTACTAACCAGAATTCTGTCATTTGTAAGCTGTATGATCCTGGAAAAGCCACTTAGTATCTACCAGGCCTCAAGATTCCACATAAATAAAGGAAGGATAATTTCTAGAACCTGTTTAATTGTAATGTCAAGAAATTCTGAATGCTTCAAATTCAAGCCATTGTTAATCTTCATGTTCTGTAGTTGCCACTACAGACTACAAGATGTACGAGGAAGGCTTACAATCAAACAAACCAAGTACCTAGTTGTAACATATAGGCATGGCCAACCTACACACTGAATTTGACAAGTCTAGTAAGGCTAACCTTTTACTTTTTTATTAACTGACTGCTACTCAGAAAGCTGCCTCTCCCTAGAAACAGTGAAACGTAAGAACTTTGTCCTACGCCGGCTATATGCTTCCACAATCAAAGAAACTTGAAACTGAACTAAGTTCACAAAATGAAAAAGTTAGCCACAGTGAGACTGACAGAGTTGCTTTTCCTGTATCTTCCTAACCTCGACATCTAATCTGTACCAGCTATAAACTACAGACCAGTCAATGGAAGAGGTAACCTCAAAACTAAAACTCAGGTAGGTTCTAGATGAAGAGGTTCCCTTTAAAATTTGAAGTGAGCTACAAAGAAAAACATATGTTGATATACCGAATAAGGTTCCTAAATAATCCTACGGAAAACAAAACTCATATCACAAGATAATACTTTAAATCCATATAGCACATTTTATAGAGCAACTTAAAGCATTTTATAGAAATTACCCAATTGACTTTCTTGACACTTCTGTGAAGTCAAGTATTACCTGTATTTTCCAAAGAAGGCAAAAAGAAACAAAGGAACTAAAGTTACTTACTTTGCCAATGACATAGCTCTCCATTGCACATCTAGGGTTTTAACTTGTGACAAAAGGTGCTCAGCTCCATAAGAAATTACATTAACTGAAATGCCTCAGCATTTTGAAAAATACTGGACTTCTCACAAGAAGTGAGTGCAGAGATAGTGTACTGACTTACTTAGCATTTCACCTGGTCACTTAGTTCAGTATCTGCCACACTGTCGGCACCCAATGAATAAGGGCTACTAAAGATAGCTAACAATTACTAGAGCTCATATATCAGGTACTGTGCTAAGCGCACTATACATATTAGTTCATTTAATCCTACCAACAACTCAAAGAGGTAAGTAAATTATTACTTTTCATTTTACTGATGAGGAAATGAAGGTCTAGGTTAAGTAACTTGCCCAAGATTACAAAATGATACAGCAAAGATTTTAACAAAGGTAGCCCAACTTGGGACCTTGTTTAAAGATCGTCGTCGTAGAAAGAACAAGAGACTAGCAGTAAGAAACTCTATCTATACTCTATTCCCTGTTTCACCAAGTCCTTGGAGAGAAGAGAAATTTCTTGCTAATCTTTGTATCTCTTCTCAGGCCTAGCATGGTACCTTAATCACATTATTCCTCATTAAATGTTTCCTGAATAAAATTAAAATCACATGAACAAATTAGGCTTCATTGTCCTCAACTGTAAAATGGAGATAAAGGTACCTGCACTGTCTGCCTAAGTAGTTCTCATAGTGTGGTCCCCGGACCTGGAAACTTTGTCAGAAATGCAAGTATCAGGCCCCACCCCAGGCCTATTGAATCAGAAAATAGTATTTTCTGACTCAAGGTGATTCTCACACATGCTGAAGTTTGAGAACCACCAGTCTACCTTAAAGGATAATTTGGAGGATCAAATGAGTAAAATAATGTGAAAGCACCCAAAAAAGTGGAAGTATATCATCATCATAATCATTAAAAGAGTAAATTATGTTCCTTGAAAAAACTTAGTGATTTTGCTAGATCCAGATAAAAATGAACATCAGAAATGAAATTATCATGAGGGAATTCCCTGGTGGTCCAATGGTTAGGACTTTGCACTTTCACTGCAGGGGGCATGGGTTTGATCCCTGGTCGGGGAACTAAAATCCCCACAGGCTGCGTGGCACAGCAATAAAAAAAAAAAAAAAAAAAAAAGAAGGAAGAAATTGATCATGAAACATTTTGTGAATAAAGATTATTATTCCAGATTTTATCTGGATAATGTATAGCATTCACTGGATGCAGAGAAAAAGACGACTATAAGCCATAAGGTTGTACGTAGGAATCTGATAACTTGGTTATGCAGTGGTTCAACACAGAGAGATGACAAACTACACAGGCTTCTTACCTGACCAGTGTCCAGTGGAGATGCCAGATCTGTCTGTGCAGGTCTCACTTACAGGTCTAAACACAGTTTCCCATCCCCCAGTAGCATAGCGCCAATTGTGAGATTCCAAGATGAGTGTTCGCTGGGTGCCATATGCAATCATGAAGCAGTAGACCACGTGATGGAGCTGACAGCCATAGCCACAGCCTTTGTTGATATTACACACTAGTTTCTTGGCTTTGCTGCAGTCCTTGGGATTCTGTCAGTAAGGAAGAGAAACAAAGGTGAAGATTGGCTGTACTGAGAGGTTAACTTCTCTTTATAGGTGACAAATGTCAAAAATCATATAATAAGCCAGGACTAATCCAGTATATCTTACTAATTAAGCAAGGAATTCAGCTTTAGATTATATTTCAAAGAATCCACTGAAGATTTTATGTGCATACTTATGGAGATGGCAGTGAAAAACACCAGTTACTTTGGAAACATCACTAAACAGACATGAAATTAAGCAGTTACGTTTTAAAAAATATTCTTTCACTTCTCTATCGCTCAGAACATGCAAGTATGATCGTCTCTGAACTCAGAGTTGCACACACTGAAATCTTTATAAAAGAAGCAAAATAGTTCGCTTATTCCAGGTGCCGTTCAGCATTGAGATTATTACCTTCACGGATGAAACAAATCATCTTAAAAGAAAAACTATAATTTAACTAATAATTCCAACTATTCCAGAATTCGAGATGTCACCAACAAAATGTACTTCTTCATTATGGAAGTAAAGCCACTGAGTAAAAGGATATCTGAGTTCAACAATTAAAAAATATCAGTCACGGGACTTTTTCACAAAACCAATATTGATGATACCAGTAATTTTTAAAATAAAATGTAGAGCATGTTTTATATTGGATGTATTGAGAATGTGCTACGCCCATGTTTAATCAGGAGATCCATTTTTCTATTTACATGTTTTGCTATAAGATGAATAGCAAGTGGTTAAAACATTTAATATTATCTAACAGTGGGTGCAATGGGGTTAAGCAAACGTGAAAAATTCTTTTTTCCCATTCTAAAGTTTCAATTCCACTGTAATTTGTATGGGCTGTTGCTAAATATCCCTAGGCATCTTAGTTCTTCAAATAAAAATTTGTTTTGACAAGGACTCCTTAGCCTGAGAAATTTTTCAAGCTGTTCTGTCTGCAAGGGAAGAGAAAGGATGGGTACCTTCAGGAACAGAATCTTTTCTTCCACATAGCAAGAAGCAAGGTAATCAGTTCTCAATTTAGATGAGGCTTTAATAAAGCAGTTGCCAAACCACAAATCTACAACTATTTTCTAGGGATATCATCTGCTCCGTAAAGTAGAGCCCTAGAAACAAAAGCTAGGATGGTAAGGTTATAAAATGATTCTGAAAGAAACGCTGCAAAACGAAAATGCCACACACCGTTACTTTCAGAAGAAGTATCTTTCATACTCAGGCGTGCCACTGCAGGCTGGTCCTTTCAGATCAAAGCAGAACCTATACCATCAAGAGCCTTCTGAAGAGTTAGAGCCCTTATGAACTCAAGAGAGCCCGGATAAAATTCAGCAAGACGTGGTCAATACTGTTTCCTCAATCAAGTACTAGAGTTGCTGAATTCTCTTCACTTGAGACTTTGAACTCATGGCAGGCTCCTAAGGCAATAAAGATGCCCACTCAGGTGCTACAGCCACAGAAGAGTTAAGAAGAACAGAGGCGGTGTGATGTTGGGAGACCAATTTATCCTTTACTTTCTTCTAATATTATACAAGGATCTGGGAATAAAGAATATTCAAAGCTTTATTATTAATTCAATAGTTCAGAGAGAAAAGAATATCGACATTTGTCAGATTTTTCATGAACTGTAAGAAATACAGCACTTTGAATATTTCTAAAATTCATATGAATGAAAATGTCCTTCATATATTTTTCAATAAACATTTCCTTTTACAGCTGCTTTTAGATGTACAGAATTATTGCAGAGTTAGTACAGAGATCCCATATACCTCACAACCAGTTTCCCATATTATTATATCTTATATTAGTCTTCACATTTTTTAAAGGAAAAAAGAGTAAAGGAACATAATAACTGAAACAGATGAACTTTAAGTTTTCAAACTGTAGATTTTTTACGTAAAAGAAGACACATCTGCATGAAAAAAAAATACATCTACTGTGTTTCTTAAGAGTTTAATTAGAACCCAGTGTTTCGAGCACAAGAACTGAGGCCTAAGAGAAAGAAGAGGGTAATTTATGATATGAAGCGTAATTCAAGAGTCTTAATGTGTCTCAAAGTAAGCTGAAGAGAGAATATATTAAATCTTTCTGTTATGTATTGATAAGACAGAGAAAGGGAAAAAAAAATCTATTATGTATGGTTCTGGAATGAGAAAGGTCTACATATACAAGGTAACCAATGGAAGAGTCTAAGGCAGGAAGTGATAAGAGAAAATGAATGGCTGTTTGGAATGATAACAGTTAAACAAAACACTGAAAAAGCTCAGCGCCACAGCCCGATTTCTTACTGAAATAATAGTTAAAAGTCTGCAAAATTCAAAGGATCTTGCTCATAAAAGATTCAGAAATAGGAGAGAGACAGCGAGAAACAGAAAAAGTATATGTGTTTCTAACACAAGATTAGGCTCATCAGAACAAAGATCTAGAAAAAACAAGCAGATATATAAAAGGTAAACAAAGCAACAACTCAGATGGATAGGGATTTACTCTGATGGAAAGGAACCTTACAAAAAAGCCCTTATCTGACCTAAGTTTTTGTTATCCGCCACTGTTATGAAGTAGCAACAAGTAAGAGATTTATGGGCGTCTATAAAAGGGAAACAGAGCCATTGTTATACATACATATATGCATATATATAATCCTCAAATTTCTTACCAAATAGACTTTGTCAATTACCACTGATCCTGGTTTTATACTTTTCTGTTGATGTCTGCAAAAAGCTTGAAGGTTTGTCTCATCCATAAGCAATAATATAGAGAAGGGCCTCATTACTAAAAGAAGCTTTACTTTAATCATGTTATCTCTTTAACAGGGTAGCTATTTCTGATGATAAAATCTGTTTTTCATTTGCTTCTTGTGTGCCTAATCACTCTCTTGTATATTTCTCTACCAGTAACGCCAAAATGCAGGCAGATAGTTTTGTTCTGTTATATTGCTTTATCTCTCTCCCCTCCCTCCCGTCTTATGGTACTCCCTCCCGTCTTATGGTACTCCCTCCACTCATCTCTCTCTCTCTCTCAGACACACACACACACACACACACTTGAAATATGATACACTCCAAGCAGATTTAGGCTCACTAGGAAGCACTTCTTATTCGTGAGTGGGAGATGGGGAAATACAGATTGAAAATGCTACCCCGTAAGTCCCCTGGGACAGCGTCCTACTTCTCCGTCCTTCTGCCTTGAGTATCACTCACTGATCAAGTATAGGCGAACGTTTGTTCATTTAATAAATATTTATTAAGCACTTAACTTATACAAGGAAACTTGGGAGATGACAATCCAATAGAATAAGAAATTATATACGTAAATAACTACAATAGACAATTTAAATGTTTTAAGACCATGGTAAACAAGGAATTAAGGAATGGAAGAGGAAAAAAAAGTCACTTTCAGCTGGACTGGAAAGGGCTATGAATAAAACTGCATTTAAAATAAATCTTTAAGATATAATTTATCGTGTTTATGAAACGCTAAGTAAATGTACTTTTTCCATTATTCAATGGAGGCCTATATTGCAAAGAATAATTGTGAAGGGCAAGGTAAAATTACTTTATAAACTCTACATATTATATTTATAACGTAGGATTTTTGTATACAGGGCCTTCTTAAAGTCAGACTCATCAATAGACACATGCATTCTTGCTTCTTTCGATGATGATGTTATTTAAGCTTTAGAATAGGAGGCAAATTTGTCAAAATTACTTAAGACAATGTGTTCTAGTTGAAGAACTGCAGAGGTTTAAGATACAATTTTTTTTCTAATTCAAGCTCTGTTATGAATTCAATTGTGTGATTCTGCTTCAATTTGGTAATTTACAATTGAGATAAAAATTACCTCCCTCCATAACCTCTTCCTGCTCACCCATCCTTCCATCTCAGAGACACTATGAGGCTAAAATACATGCTATATGCTCAAAACTAATTCAAACATACTTCTCATTTATCCTCATAATCTCAAGAGACATTACTTCACACTGGATAAATGAACTACTTTTTTGCATTTAGTGCTACAAGGTGGCCCAATCATGGGCCCTTGTAAGCTAACAATATTATGTAACATTTTTACAGTTATAATTCTGCAGCAAAGCTGTCACCATAGGACATATAAGAAACAAGGACTTAAGATAAAATGGGGTTCTTCTGTATTCAGTTTCCTTTTGTTCAGCTCTTTAAAAAAATTTTAACACTATCTGAGGCATTTCTTATGATGCTGTTAGTTTCCAAGAATGACCCTATCTCAACAGAACTGAAAACTATACTTGCTCTCACTGTCCTATAAGTCAACATTGGGAAGTATATTTAAATCAAGATTCCTCTAACTAACACAGTATATTAAAGGAAGCAGCAGCTCTTAAACCTAAATGATTACTAATTCGCTAAAGGCACCATCAAAATGCTAAAATATCTATTTTACTTTGGTTACAAATATGAAAATAGTCTCTCTTGGATATATTTCAAATAAGGAAGCCAGTTTAATTTCTACTTTGCTAAAAAAGAATAATTTGGAATCAACTAGTAAACCACAAGCATTATTATATTACCTAGGCACTGCTAGGATTTAGAGGTTTCTACTTCCTTCACTTAGTAAATTAGTAGTAATTGTGAATTAATGATATAATATTACAAAATATAGTACTGATTCCATGGTTTTTAAATTAAATCACAGATAAAGCCTTTTGCCAGGACTATCTAGATTTTCCATACAAATTAAAGCCTCTTCAGAGGAAAATTTTCCAGCCGCAATGTAATTTCCCTCACTTATCTGCCCAGTTACTACAGACCAAAACACTGCAGAAAAAGCCTAAATCAACAACAAATAGAAAGCATTTAGTCAATATAAACTGGATATAATATCTCCAGGCGTCTCTTGCAAAGAAAAAATGCTCAATAACAATTAGTTCAGAAGAACTGCATGTACAGAGACAAAGGTGATGTCAAATCCATTGTCACAAAAATACACTAATTGGTGGCAAGCCAAAATTTAGAATTCAGGTCTC